CGGGCAGCAGAGCCAGGGGCCCAGAACCCCTCTCTCCTGTGGGGTGGAAATTGTTCCTCGGCCCCCAGCCCGGCTCCAGGCCAGGCACTGGCAGCGGAAGCCCTCGTGCCCACATTGGCCCCGCCCAGCTTTGGGACCCCCGGGAGGGCGTCCTACGAGAACTGGCCTGAACTGGCAGCTCCGGCGGCCGGGCGGGTGTGTGTGCTCACTGCACCAGGGCCCACGTGGGTGCACAGTGAGTGGAGACACACGGGTGCTTGTGCATGTTGGCAGTGCTGGTACCACCGTGAGCGGGTGTGTGTGCGTGTGCACACGCATGCGAGGGTGCCTGTGGGGTGCTGTGTGCGCGCAGAGGGCAGGCGGCAAGCCACAGATGGGGCCTCATTCCCCTGTGCACAAAGCAGACAACCCCCCTCCTCCTCTCATGAGCCCTGGGTTTGCCCTGGGGGCCCAGTCATAAGCCCCCACCTCTCCCTGAACCTCAGTGTCCTGCACTGCAAAAGGGGCCCTCATCCACCCCAAGGGCCTGGGAAGGGGAGTAGATGAAGGTGCTGTACATCAGACCCTGTGAGAGGAAGACCCCAGGTAGGGCTTGGGGCCCTCCCCTGCACAGTCTGAAAAGTGGGGACTCCCCAGCCCTAGCGGAGCCCAGGCCGCCTGCTTGGCTCCCTTCTCCAGCCAGTGGCAGCGGGGGTGGGGGACTTCCCAGACCTGGCCCCTGTAGCTATAGTGATGGAGACAAAGCGTCCCCCCAGCCCCCCAGGAGGAATTCCAGGCCTGGGCATGTGTGATTCCACTCAGACAAAGCCAAAACCACTTGCAAGTGGGGGTCTGGCTCAGGAAGCCCTTTCAGCTTGTCCAGAAATGCCAGGTGGGGGGAGTAGCAGTGGACACACGTGTTCCCAAGTGCTTGGCTGCCCCCGGGGTCCCAGAGCCCCCCCAGGTCCTCAGTGCAAGGAAGACTAACACACCCGGCTCCCCTGCGTCTCTAGCCCCCAGTCCACTGGGCTGGGGTCTGCTGCCCCCAGCCCACAGCCCACACGAACAGCAGACAGTTCATCCCACTTGGCGATGTCCTCCCCACAGCTCTGCCAGCAGGAGAACTCGCACCACTCCCAGCTCGCCAGACAGCCAGTCCTGTTCGCCACGCAACACACCCACCACCTGCGCCCCACAGCCAGCACACCATGCACAGCCAACTCTGGGGTGCAGCTCCTGCTTTGTGCAACTCCCCAATCTCAGGCCTTTACACCCCAGAACCCCCAGCCCCAACAACCCTCCCTCCCTTGCAGGGTACAGCACACCAAGATTCCCAGAACACCTCATTTCCCAAGTCACAGAGGCCCACAGTGCCCCCCCCAACCCTCCCCCACACAGCAGCCCCAAGGCCCAGCACACGCTCCCCTCGGCACAAGTCCCGGGGGCTCTCAGCACTGCACCCTCTGCACCCCAGCCCCACAGCTGGGCCTGGCATCCACAGGACAGCCCCCAAGGCCTGGGGTGTCTGATTGGGGGGGCAGACCCTGCCCAAGGACCCACCCCCCAAGGCTTGGGCCCCAACTCACCAGCCAGGAGGCCAAGGGCAGGAGTCCAGAGCAACAGCGGCAGCAGGAGAGGGGCCAGGGGCCCCTGTGCTCCAGGCCTGGCCAGCGCCATGGCAGCGCGCTCCTCTCCGCTCCCAGCGGCTGTGGGAACAGGCGGCCCAGCTGGCTCCGCACCCCCCTCTCCCTCCAACCAGCACTAATGCCGTGGACAGAGGCCCGGCCCCTCCCTCCCGCCCATCACCACCTCCTCCCCCAACCCGGCCTCCCAGGCAGCTCCTCCTCCAGCCAGATTTAGGGGAGGGGTCTGCCCACTCAGCTCCCCAGGCCCCTGGGCAACAGATTGACCTTGTCTGGGGCACCACTCTCTTCCTCTCCACACCCTCCCCGCCCGCCCTCCGCTCAGTCCTGCCCCCTCAGCCTCCTGTGAGGCTCCTTCTTCACCAGAAGCAGCCAGTTACTCCCAAGTTCTCTTTGCTCCCACACAGCTGGGTGCCCCCATCTCCCCCAGCCTGGACCTCCCCTCTCCAGAGCCCTCAGCCCAGAGCTGCCCACAGTCGCCGGCCGACCTCTCTGCTCAGAAGCCTGAGCCCTCCACTCAGCTCGTTCCTTCCCAGTGCTCCTCCCCACAAGACACCCCGTACCCCGAACCCCAGTGCCTCACCCTCCTCCCCACATTTCATCAATCACAAACTCCCAGTGGTTCTAACTTCCCAGTCTTCTGACCGGCCTCCCCACCCCCTGGGGATCAGGCCCAGGGACCTGTGTGTGGCCTCCCCCTCCCTCACCACCCCCAGTCCCCCTCTTTGGTCTGGGCCTTTGGCTCTGGTGCTCAGCAGCCCCTGGACTCAGCAGCCGCCAGCTAAGCCAGCCTGCCTTCTGGGGAGTCCTTCCTCTCCCCCAGTCTCCTGCAGGGGGGCTTGAGGGGCGGAGTTGTTTGGTGGAGATGTGGACCCCAGATCCAGACCAGTGTCCCCTCCAGAACGAGGCTCAGGCCCTGCCATGGACACAGGGCCCGGCATGGATGCAGTAGAGAGCGTTATGGGGGAGCCCGGGGCGGCCCTGGAGGGACAGGCGATGCCCAGGGGATGGAGCAGAGGGGTCTGAGGCCCAGGGACATGCCTGGAGGAGAAGCCGAAGGCCTGGGTGCCCCTTGGCCACACTGCCCCCCCTTCAGTCTAGTTTCCCCTGGAGTGGGGCATGCTCTGCGGTTTCTGGAACCCTCCTCACTCCCAATCACCTTTACATCCCTGCCTCTCAGACGCCAAGAACCCCCTCCCCCTGAAATGGGAGCCCCCCCCTTCCGGGCAGCCCCTTTCTACTCTGGGATGAAAGAACAGGCCCCCAGCTAAGCTCCAGGTCTGGGCGCCGCGCTGCCATCCCCGTTCTCTGAGTGTCCTCCAGGACTCTTGCTGGGCTCTTTCCTCATCTGTGAAATGGGCGTAACCACCATCTGGCCCGCTGGCCATGCGGTTCTATATCCGGCTTCTCAGAGATTCCTGAGAGAGCCAGGCAGCCCCGGGGAGGTAATGGGGTTGGGGGGGCCTTTAAGTTCCCACACCCCTGGTCTCGGGACAGAGACACACTGCCCAGTCTGACTCTGAGCCACCAGGTCTGGAGTCACCGGTGGCCGTGTGCGCGCCCGGCCCGGCAGGCGCCACCTTGTGGCCAGATCCGGGAGCGCCCTAGGAGGTGGGCTGGACTGGGGGGCAGATGAGGAGGGCAAGGGACCCAGACTGGGGCGGAGGGAGCCCTCGGAGGGGGACGGAGGAGGCCAGGGAGCCTCTGGGCGCCGCTGCAGGGCTGAGGTTAGACAGGACAGGCCACCCCAACGCACTCCCTGGTCCGGATGGAGGAGAGACAGCAAGGGACAGCCAGTGGGCTGAGGAGATGCTCCTTTGGGATAATCCACTTTGCTCATGTTCCCTGTGGAGGGGGCAGTGAGGAAAGGCTAGGGAGCAACATAAGCTTGCTTTCCCCCCTCAACAACACTGCAGGGGCAGCAGTGACCCCCTTTTAGAGATAAGAAAACTGGGGTGCAAGAGGAGAGTTTGGTAGCCCAGGGTTGCAGGGCTCCTTAGTTGGGTGGGGTTGCAGCGTGCCCCTGGCCTACTCCGCCGCTGTCTGCCAGGCCAGTCTCAGTCCTGGTTAACTCGCTGTCTTCTCCTCAGCTGCCTTCTCCCTCGTCAAGGGCCTGGGTCCTCAGACAGCCCCCACCTCTGCAGCCTTAGGCAGACCTGGCAAGAAGCGCAGTGGGGGAGGCACCAGCTCTGGCACCAGGCCCACGGGTTTGAGTCCTAATTCTGCCCTTACCCTCAGACAAGGTTGGTCAGTTTCTTGCCACTTCGGGGCCTCAGCTTCCCCGTCTATAAAGTGGTATGATAGTGGCATCTCCCTGGAGCACTGGGAGGGGTGGGCTGCTGCCCCAGAGACTGCCTGGCCCTTCCAGGCCCTTCCACAGTGACTTCTGCCCTGTCTCCCCTTCTCCCCACTTCCCTTCTCCGGGGCCATGGTTATTCTGTCTCACCCCCTCCCAGTCTACCCCTGGCCTTCTCCCTTCTGACCCCAGAGGACTCCCCATAAGGACTTCCCCAGAGGCTCTGACGCAGAAGGGGGCGTGTCAGCAGCTGGGAGAGTGGGAGCGGTGTTCCTGCCCCTTCTTTCTCCCTGCACCGGGGTGTGTGTGTCTAGCTGATGCTCCAGCTCTCATAGGCCCAGGTAACGCTGGTCCTTGGGGGCCAAGCCTGGGGCTCCCTGCGGCTTCTCTGGGCCTCCCCTCCTGCCTTCCTGGCTGCTTCTCTATTTCCTCCCAAAATGTGGGGGTGCATCAGAGTCTGTACCCTATGCCCCTTCTCACGCTGTTTCTACTGTCCTTTGATTAAACAACAAATCTGTGTCACTCTTTATTACCCTGCAGCGAAATGACACACATATACATGTCATTCCCCAAAGCCCCCTAACTGAAGTGTCAGGGCCAGTGGTGAGGCAGACGCCAGTTCAAATCCTGGCTCCTCCACTTGCCAGCTGTGGCCTGGGGCGAGCTGCTTAACTTCTCTGGGCCGTTCGCTCCCCACGAACAGGGGCCGCCTTCCAAGCCCTTCCGGCACAGGCGTGAGGATTGCATGCGGAATTATTCATGAGGCATTTAGAACAGTGCCTGGCACAGGTTAAGAGCTAAATGAGTGTTGGTTAAATGTTAGATGATATTATTTCAAGTTGTAAACTCTCTCATTGACTACGCCTGAAGCCATAATAGAATAACAAGACGCTTACTCCTCTGCCCGGGGCACTCTGAAGGCACAGCCGCCTTTGCAGCCTGTGGTGGAGGCTCCCTAGCAGTGCCACTGCCCAGGTGGGGCGGCTGGGGGGCTCCCCCAAACTGGTGATCACTCCGCATGAGGTTCTGAACAAGGCAAAGGTCAGTCTGCCTTGGAGTTACGTGGACCTTGTGTTTCTGGCAAATTCTGTGTGTGTGAGGCTTCAGGGCCCTGTGCCGACACACACAGCTTCTCTCGTAGCCAGAGCCAGGCTCTGGGCTTGACGTTTCTCTTCAAAGCGAGCGTCTGGCAGGACAGGCAAGGTCAGGTATCCCGTGTGTAGACAACAGGCGTGTACGGAGAAACCCGAGCTTGGGGCCCGGGTCTGTTCCAGCAGACCCTGGGTTAGCCCCTGCCCCCGAGGCCCCGAGGCCCTGTGGGCATGAGAACTGCGTGGCTCAGAGCCTTCGAGGTGCGGACTGTCCAAGCCTCGCAGAGTGCCCAGCACTCTGGGCCCCACCCCGGGGAGGCCAGCGATGCCCCCACTCATCATGAACACCCACAAACGCCCCCAAACAATGCCTAGGAGACCCCTGACTGTTACACCAACCGCCAAGGGACTTTTCCAAATCTCGAATTGTGTCTTATCTGCTGACTCCCAGGTATGCTCAGGATAAGTTTGAATTCTGGAAACTGATACCCCAAATCTTCCAGTCCCTGATCACCAACCCACAGATGCATATCCACACCATCTGCCCCACTCTCTCCTCTACTCCCCACCCTCAAGGCCAGACCCAGTACCCCAACTTGATGAGTCTCCAATAATGAGGGACTGGCCAGATGGCTTGGAGAGAGTGGCCTAGACAAGTCGGGTGCTCCCCTGCCTGAAGGACAGGCTGCAGGCCCCTCTGGAGACACTAGAGGGAGCTCCAGGACAGGACAGCTCCCTCTGCCACCAGCCACCACCCTCACCCTTCTTGGAGGGCACCCACCCACTGCTCAGAGGTCACCCCTGGGAGTCCTGCCAGGGTCTGGCCAGGCCCAGTGTCTCACAGACCCAAGCCGTTTTATTCTCCAGCCTTGTTTGCAGGGAGCCTTGTTGCAGAGGATGGGGCAGAGTTGGGGGCTGCCCTGCCCGCTGCCCCCAGGGAGGGGAGGGACTGACTCCAGTGAGGCCACACCAGTGTCGGAAGCAGTGCCTTCTTGATGCTCTCCCAAAAAATGGACTGGGGGAGGTTCCCATGAAGCCCCCCCCCGGCACCGCAGGAGGGGCTGTCCTTGGGCAGGAGGCAGGGAGCAGGCAGGTGGCCCAGTGGGCTGAGAGAGTGGGGGTGCATCGGGTGCTACCAGCAGAGGGGAGCCCTGGCACTCCTCCCGAGGGCGATGCCAGGACAGCCTGGCATTTGCAGAGGAGCCTGCCAGGTGCCGAGAGGGGAGGGGCAGAATCACCATTTTTGGAGAAGTGATTGGCCTCTCTCCTTGCGTCTAAATGGCACAATCTTTTAAATTTTCATGAAAACAGAAAATGAATGACAAATGGAGACTCTGAAACAGGAAATCCATTTCCTTTCAAATCTGATGGAGAGAGCAAATCCAAGTCCAAAGCAAGGCTAACAGGATCTAATGACCTGTAACAAAGCATGCCAGCTGTCCCACGGGCACACCTGCGGCCGCCTCCGATGAACTGAGAAGGCCCCATCCCGGCCCCATCCTGGCCCCATCCCAGCCCCGTCCAGACCACGCAGCCCTCGGTGCAGGGGCCAGGCCTCAGAGGGGCAGGGGATCGTGGGGGGCTGGGGGGGCGCTGGACCAGGCCCAGACTCCAGGCTTGGGCTGCTCCATACCCACCTGCACGCCG